CGAGATCGAATCGTTAAAACTTCGACATCATAAGACCTTTTAGGCAACTCTCAATCTTTATAGGCCACGGCCACCCCACTCGGGGACTGACACTTCGGGCAAGCTCGAAATAAAACGGGAAAATAAGCCCAAGGGGAAAATCTCGGACTAAAGAGGCTACGACCAAATTAACGTGGTTCGGAGACGTCCGAATTCTGTAACAAAACATGCCTTCGAATTTCATAAACTGATTAAAAGGGCTACCCCCGGCGAAATCGTAAAAGGCTTCGATAATATCAAGCCTCGAAAACTCTAATGAGTACAAAATTGTTCGAACTCTCGAACAGTTCCTTACTTCGTGCTAAGGCATTACAACCTTTGTGCACATGAATGATAAACAAAGGAAAAACTTTGAAAGCCGAAAAGGGTAGAAAAACCTTATACATATGATCAAACAATCGTTTAACAAAGGCCAGACTGGCCGAATACAAAATTTACAAATGCCTAAGGGCTACTTTCACTTCGAGTTCGAGAGATCCTTCTCACTAGACTAGAAAGCCTAAGGATTACCTAATTCCGAGTTCGAGCTTGTCCCCACTCGATCATTAATTAAACTCAAGTTCGAGTTATCTTTCGGGGTCCATCGATTGGAAGAGGTCGAAGGTAAGGCCTATTATCGGCCCTTACCTTCTCCAAACCTCGGACCCTCGGACACAACTTCATGATCTTATGCTAAGGCATTTGACCCTTACATGAAATAACAAAAAAGACAACAGATTCAGAAGCTATGGAAGAGAAGAAGTTTCATATATCCATCAAAATCTTTTTACAAGGGCCATATGGCTCGGTTAAGAATTCTTTATAATGGCTGGGCAGCCCCGACGGAAAAACAAAAAAAAACACTAAGCCTAAGTAGCATAGTCCTTGTCAGGGGAAACATCTTCGCCCTTAGAGTCTTCTTCTCCAGATCCACTCAAACTCTCAGAGTCCTCCTCGGGAAAAGCCAGCTTCTGAGTCTTCGTTTCCTCTTCCTTGGCGACCTCAATTTTAGCAGATATATCGAAGCTTTGATCATGATCCCCCTCAAGGACCTCCCTTCGAGCTTGCCACTTTGCATGATTCACCATGCTCTTGGCCTACGCTAGGGTGGCTTCAGCATCGGCCTTGTATTGGGTCACACCAGCCTGAGCCTTAACATTGGCTGGGCCGCCTCAGATCTGGCTACCTCGAGCTCTTTGGCCAAACTGCCTAAATTGGACTCGAGCTCCTCGAATTTCTTTGCATGAACCAAGGCACTCTCTCTTGCAGACCGAAGCTGAGACTCGGTCCAATCCAGCTCTGCTTGAACGGCCTCCCCACCTCGAGGTAAAGCATCTTTGGCTTTTTCCAACTCGGGGACTTCGTCAAGACGAGGCAAAGCAGTTTTGGCCCCCGCCAGCCTAGTAGTTCTTTGTGTTTCGATGCCAGTTCGCACACGGGTCACCAGCCCGGAGTCTTCCTCTTCTTCGACCTCTTCAGACCCATCCCTCAGTTGTTTGACTGACTCCATAGTTACGCGGATGACGTTCCCCTTGGGTTTACGGGGCCTCCTCGTCGGCTTTTTCTTTTCCGGGCACGGAGAGCTCGGAACCCCTTTTCTCTTCTTCTTCTTGGTCTGCTTTGGAGCAGGTGGAGGGGAAAGCGCCTCTTCTTCAGCAGAGAGGGGGGGTCTCATTGGTACATCATTCCCTAGGCCTACAAAAGGAAAAAGATGAGTAAATACAATACAAGATCTGAATGGAAGCCGTTCTAAGAAGAGAAGATTACCATGGTTACGAGCCTCCCATTGGCCCTTCTCTATTTCCATCCAAGCGTGCTCGGAGTATGACCTATGCGACACCAGGCCCCTGACCCATTGCTCGAGATCGGGGATCACCTCCGGAACGACAGCAACAGCTACAACACAAAGGCTTAGATGAGGAAGGAAGATAAGAAGCAAAATGGCAAAGTTAGATATTCAAGGCGAAGCAATACTTACGATTCATGATTCATTTTTTAGGGAATGACATGTCTTTGGCAGGGATTACGTCCAACGTCCTTATTCGGACAAATCTGCCCATCCAACCTCGGTCTCGGGTCTCGTCTATGCTCGAGAACGGGCATTTGGTGGATTGACGATAAAGCTTGATCATGCCTCCACGATAAAGCCGGGGGTTGTAGAGACGCATAAGGTGATCGAGGGTAAAGGGATGCCCCTCGATCTTGCTTACAAAAAATTGAAGGAGGATCACGATCCTCCAAAATGATGGATGGATTTGGCTAAGAGTGACGTCATACCTCTTGTAAAAGGCGACGATGGTCTAAGGGACCTATCGTGAAGGGTAAGTATAGACACTTAGATACCCCTCCACATGAGTTGTGATGGATTGCTCGGGGGTAGGAACTACTACATCTTTACCTACCCAGTTGCACTCCTCTTTCACCTTCTCGAGGAGATCTTCTGTAATCGTGCATATGTACTCGACATCGGTTCGCATCGACCCGGTGTCGAGGGTGTATTCTCCACCTTAAAATCAGCAGCAGTGGCGCACTTTGTCGGAACGAAGTCCTCAAGGGGATGTTCCGTCGCGGCTACAGCGGCGGCAGGCTTTGATGAGGAAGCGCTTTCCTTGTGTGGGACAGTTTTTGAGGTCTTATCCATTTTGTAGATGGGGAAGAACAAAACGGAGAATGAACGCTTGGATGTTTTGCGAAGAAACAAATAAAGAAACCCAGGTTATTGAAAACACAAAGATCTGGAGAAGGCAAAGAACCGTGGAGATTAGGATGAAGGAAATTGAAAGTAAAGTTTCAAAGAATAAAGAAGGTATCTATTTATTGGTTTCACAATGACAGTTTAATACTGCTAGTGGCCGACCATCGACTGACGCACATTAAATGCCTAGAAAACTGAACCGACGGGACGTTTCGGTCACCTCAGCCGCTTGCATCATAGTAAATCGAGGGGAAGTTCGAAGACTCAATTCGTTTCTTGTCATTACACTCCAAAAATTGAGGGGACTATCTGTATACGGTCAAAAGTCGGGCCTCTCTAACTTTGCATAGCTAATCGAAATCGGGGTGACAGACTGAGGCCGGACCTCACTTTGCATCGGACCATGGCACGGAGATGGATCGCTAAGCTCGTGAGTCGATGATCGATCAAGATCGAGACCAGCCGTGATCGAGACCGAAGCGAGATAGGGACCGAGCGTGAACGAAGAAAGCCTGCTAAACCGAATAACAGGAAGCCGAGATATCCGCGACTGGGCAAGGATCGTGGCGGAAATCTCGGCACAGATCAAGTCAAGACCGGACATTTAGCCAATCATGGGATTTCCTTCTGCATTTAGAATTGTACCATAAGTAGAGTTCCTCTACTATATAAAGAGGGTTCTAATCATTTTTTAAGGACCAGATTCACACATAACAAAGTACTACATTATATTTTCTCTCAAGCTCTGTTGTTCAGTTCATACTTTTATAGCATACATTGTTGGTTCGAGGGCGATCTAGCTCGAAGACCATAACCGCTCATTATATTGGTTTGCTTTATTTTACAGTTAATTTCTAACATTAATTCTCATATTTCTCAGTTTGTGCCAAGTAAAATCACATATCCTTAAAACCAACCACTTATAAGTTAATTGTTATTCAATTTTAAAGGTAAACAATTAATTTGATATCATTGAAGAAACCCATAAAAATCCTAGATCCGCTTCAGGCGACTAGTACGACTTAAGAAGTTCTATTCAATAGGAATGATTACAGCTTTGATTTCAAGTTTTGGTTCCTTACTGTGTGCTACAAAAATATCTATCTTGCCTACAGAATGACCAAGAAATCGTGTTTGTGATCTTGTTGTAGTGTCTTTTAGGCAACAATTAATCATACCAAAATTAGAATTGCTCAATTTGATTCAAGTTGACAAATTAAAACAGTCCAATCAATTATCCCAAAAACGAAGACATCAATGGGATTAAGTGGAAGGAGCATCAAAATGTTGCTTATCATGAATAGAGTATGTCTTCTTGTCCTAATTAATTCGTTGTTATTTATTTTTGAGGTACGTTTGTTATATGATCAGTGCACATAAGCTGCTTTATAAGACTTGTACACCACGTTAATCAATTCAATCTTACCCTATTTACGGGGATGAAACTCTTGATATATGCATCAAGTGTTTACACCAAATTATATTAATTTATTATTGGTTAAGCAATTTAATAAAGTAAAATTATGTACTAGTAAGTAAACATGAATAAGTGCAAGAAACTTATTATATACAAACACATGTCATGCATTTATTCATTTAGTATAACTGACTAACCGTCTGGTGCGCATAAATTCTTAACCCGCCCTCCCCCCTTTGTTTTCAAGTTACAGCATAAGGTTTAATATAGGTAATTGTTCGTAATATATGGAATTAGCAACCTAATAAGAAACGAAACAAATTACATCTTTTACTACGACATATTAAAAAACATTGATAGTGTACAAGTTCTTTTACTCATGAATATATGTGTAAATTCGCATCAATTGTCACAAATTATCATTAATGGATTTAGTGAGCATACCATCTCAAGAAGTAGATTTAAGATTTACACTCACTAATATTATAAATTATCATAGTGGATGAGGATTTAATACCTAATACATATATGTAAGAAAAAGACAGTCTCGTGTACTAAGCTCCGGCTATACGTGGGATCCGAAGAAGGGTCGGACCACAAGGGTCTATTGTATACAACAACAATAATAATCCAGTAAAATCTTACTAGTGGGGTCTAGGGAGGGTAGTGTGTACACAGACTTTACCCCTACCCCGAAGGAATAGAGAGGCTGTTTCCAAAAGAACCTCGGCTCAAGAAGACGAAAACATCCCATTTAATATACATATATTTCAAATTAAAGATAATGTGTACGTATATACTTTGATTCCCACCTATTAATTTAAAATCTTAAATACTCATCCTTTTGGTCGCTATCCCTATAAATATCTCAACAAAGTAGTAGCTTTACTTCATTAGTTGTTTGTGCTTCAATAGTCATCTACTCAAAACCAAACACCTTTCCCTTTGGCCTCTCCTCCTATTATATCTTTTCATCTTCAATACCACCACTCTCAAAAAAAAATGAGAAACTTATTCCCCATATTCATGCTAATCACCAATCTGGCATTCAACAACGACAACAACAATAATAATCTCATCGGCACGATATGCAAAGCCACCTCTAACTACCCACTTTGTCTCACCACCCTTCAATCCGATCCTCGTACCTCCGAGGCCGAGGGGGCGGACCTCACCACCCTTGGCCTCGTCATGGTAGACGCGGTAAAATTAAAGTCCATTGATATAATGGAAAATTTAAAAAAACTCGAAAAATCGAACCCCGAGTTAAGACTACCTCTTAGCCAATGTTACATAGTGTATTATGCTGTTCTTCATGCTGATGTTACTGTTGCTGTTGAAGCTTTAAAAAGAGGTGTCCCTAAATTTGCTGAAAATGGAATGGTTGATGTTGCTGTAGAAGCAGAAACTTGTGAGTTTAGTTTTAAGTATAATGGATTGGTTTCTCCAGTTTCTGATATGAATAGGGAGATTATTGAACTCTCTTCTGTGGCTAAATCCATTATCAGAATGCTATTATGAGGATATTGACGGGAGTCTTGGTGTAATTGGTAAAGTTGCCTCCATCAGGAAGTCACGGGTTCGACTCTTGGAAACAACCTCTAACAAAAATGGAGGGTAAGGCTGCGTACAATAGACCCTTGTGGTCAGGCTCTTTCCCGGATCATGTACCCTTATGGTCAGGCTCTTTCCCGGATCGTGCATAGCGGAAGTTTAGTGCACCGAACTCCTTTTTCTATTAAAAGGAAATTAAAGAACCAAAAATATATGGTTATGTTAGTTTATTAGTGATGTAATAGGATTTTTATATTCCTGTGTTTTTCTTTTTTTTGCTTTTTTTTTTAATTTCATTTGGGTGCTTGTGTGTATATGTGAAAATAAGTGTGAATTATGTCAAACATAAACATAGATTAGAAATTACTCCTGCATAATTATGTACAGGTTTTTTATGTTTAAGTGAATTTATCTCTTTTAATTTCTTTGGGTTGTGGGTGTAAGCGAATGTGGTCTTTATTATACATAAATAGAGATTTAGAATTTAAGAGAAGAAACTGGAGCAACAGTAAAGTAGTCTTTATGTTATTTATAGGTTAAAGGTTCGCGTTGTGGAATCAGCCACTGATGCTTGTATTAGGGTAAGTTACCTACATCCCGCTATCCGCCCAAGATCCAAGATAAAGTAATTTTATTACTATTTATTTATTATTTAATTTCATAAATAGCATTAAATATATTCTTAAATTAAGGATTTGGTATAGTTGGCCGTGATAGTGCAATGATTCTATCCCTCCCCTACGTTTTCTTTTTCCTTCCACCCTCAAAAAGCAAAAGGCGGGAATTAATTACTAGTTAACATGTATATCCCTTGAGGTACGGTCCTTCCCTGGACCTTGCATGAACACGGGATATACTTGTGCACCGAGCCGCCATTTTTAGAGATATAGAATTTAGTGAACTTTTATATACATCGACTATGTAAAAATATATATAATTGGAATAAGTAACCTGAAATAAAGGTATAGGCTACTAATACTATTACAACAAATTATAAATACGCTAGTAGTATAAATATAACTTGCATTATTATCGGTATATATAAGCTAAATCGTTTCAAATATTATTACTTAACGTAGAGAATTTTTGTTCAAGTGTTTACTTATGGTTTTAACATTTTACACTTATTTGTTTAGAGAGAGAGAAAAAAGGGGAAAGAAAAGAAAGGGAATGATGGCATATGAGAATAAGATATATTCTTTGTTTGTGCGCCACTTATTTTGTCAATGTTTCAACTATTAAAAAGAAAGTTAAAAAATTGAAACTAATTATCGTCACAACAAACGTTAAATACTCTATTGAGCCCTATCTCAAAGATTTGGACCTAATTCATATCTTATATCTTATGTTGGTAAAAATAGCACGGACTAGTCAGTTTTCGGACTGGTAATTAAAAAATAGCCAGTATTTGTGAAGTTATTGAAAAATAACCATTATTTTGCTGAAACACGGAAAGTTCTAGCATAATATGTTGGATTATGGAGTTCCTGCATATAAACTTCCAGCATATTATGTTGGAACTTCAGTACACGGAAAGTTCCAGCATAATATGCGCGCGCGGGATTATGGAGCTTTTGCATATTAACTTACAGTATATTATGATGGAATTCCAGCACGTTATGAAATTCCAGCATATTATGCTGCAAGCTCATATGTAAAAAATTCGAACTCCAGCATATTATGTTGGAATATTCCGAATTTTTAAGAGTGTTTTTGTTCAGATTTTATCTTTACATGAAAAGTGGCTAAATTTCGATTTCTTTTGAAATAATGGCTATTTTTCAATTACTAGTTATAAATATGACTATTTCTGTCCCCCCCCCCCCCCCCCCATGTTTTGGTTTAATCATTTAGTAGTCGAAGCTCAATGGTCTGATTAATCTGGATTCGTGCCAGTGAGTCAAGATAAAATATTCGCTACCGGAAGTTTTCATCTTCGGAATTCAAACCCGAAATCTATAATTAAAAATAAAAGAACCAACCACATGCTACAAATAATTAATTTCCAACCTGTAGTTTAAAATTAATGTTCCTTAAAATTCATCCGTGCTTTCTGATGATGGTTTGGTTGGTGCGTGCACATAAAGGAAATATTCTACGTGGTGATGGTTTGCTTTCACTTCTTTTTTCCTTTTCTTGAAAGAGAATTGTATGAGTCAGAATCCGACCCCACGATAATTAACGAGGCTAATCCCGTTTTAAATTAATTCATGATTAATTAGTGGCACGACCACTCAGAATTAATTATATTCAACCCTCATCTGATTCGATCAACAAGGCCACGGCCCATCCGCCACCATGAAGGCGAAACCCCAACGTGGTCACGGCCACTTATTGCCAGCTCACGAAGCTCACAGCTATAAATACCAAGAGAGGAAACCCCAGGGGGGGGGGGGGTGCTTCTTCACCACTAGTGAGAGGAGAGAGAATCGAGAAAATATACCCCTCTTATGGGAAAAGAAAACACCATTGTAAGGTTCTGAACCTCTCCATGGAGAGGCGGACCAAACAAATATTATCAATAAAGGTTTCTAATGCTTCTACCCTTATTCCTGAGTACTTATTTTCGTTTCTTTCATTGGGTCCAACGGATTATTACGATTTGCTATGATTATCCCGTGATTTATTTATATTGTTTTATACTCGTAAGTTTTGTAATAACTTTTGAGCAAACAATTTGGCGCCGTCTGTGGGGATTTCATAGCAAAATCGCGTAGTTCTTCCCTGGACCCTAAAAGGAAGAAGCGCCAAACTCAAAGGGGAGCTCGAAGATCTCAAATCAAGATCTAAGTCTTCTCCCTCTCTCCAATCTCAGATAGTGCAAACAAGAAGAAAGCCCCCCCCCGTTTCCTTAACGGGAACGTCGTCTACAACGGTGTACGAGCTCCGGTCAGAAACCGACACGGAGATACTCTCGAGCCGAGACGTCGCCCTACGAACGA